GTTTCAACGAGTCGTTTACTGACGTCTGTGGACGTTTCAACGAGTCGGGCTGCTTCTATAGGAAGTGACAAATATGGAAAAATGTGTCACAAAAACTTTGGAAGCAATGTGTCAAATAAAAATAAAAACAAAATGTTATGATCTGCACATTTCATAAACTTGTATTTTCTTCCTAATGTAATCTTGTTAAATATTATAATTGTACAAGTTTAAAAAAACTAAAATAATTGGGGACAGGACCATGTTTTTCACTTTGTCTGAGCCCTGGACTGCAGGCAGGCCAGGTCACCTGGACTTTCCTGCCCCCAAGCTACTGATGCTGTGACGGATGCAGTCATTTGACATTTGATGAATTATGCAAGACCTTCCCTGAAAATGATCCGTCCGTCCGTCCGTCCGTCCGTCCATCCATCCATCCATCCATCCATCCATCCATCCATCCATCCATCCATCCATCCATCCATCCATCCATCTATCCATCCATCCCCATCCGTCCGTCCGTCCATCCATCCATACATCCATCCCCTTTACCTGCTTCTTTCTTCCTGCGTCGCATGGCTCACTGGCGTCCATATCCAGCAGTCACTGTGCGAGAGTCGGGGGACACCATGGACAGGTCTCCAGTCCATCACAGGGACACAACAAGACAAACAACCATTCACACACACTCTCACTCTCTCACCCACCTGGGGACATTTTAGAGTTGTCAGCCTAACATGCATGTTGCTGTTCTAAAACCTGTAAATACTTTTCTGTGTTGATGGTGCCTTTCCAGATGTGTAAGATGCACACTAATGCACCCCCAAACCATCAGAGAGGCATGATTTGAACCTCGCACAAATAGACTTGATGGTCTGAAAAATTGTATAACTTGGTATCTTAAACACGTTATATGTTTACTGTGTTTCATTGAGAGTAAAAAATGTCTGTGAGATTTGAAAGTCATGACATGTTTGTATTTACATTTTACACATCGTCCTTTTTGTAAATTAAAGAGGTATTAAACCAAAACTGGGCAACAGATGCACAAACTCAAGGTGCCCTTAGTGCAGTACATTTCACCAACACTTGCGCTGATGTCATATTTTAATTTTATTTATTTATGTTTATTTTGTGTGTTTGCTGTAGGATGGAAGCGCAGACGCAGCGGGAAATAGCAGCTCTGAAGCTGTGCGACGGCCATCCCAACATTGTGAAGCTGCATGAGATTTACCACGACCAGGTGAGTTCACATTCAGCACGAACTCTGTTTTCTGCAGTTGTCTGTGGAAACGGTCCTAGAACTGGAGCAGGGCAGATTAATGGGGATACTGGGAGCCGTCTAGGTTTCTCTCTGACTCCTCATGTCTGTGAACATCTTGATCATTTAGAGCAGATTTATTTACAAACTGCAGCTGCACAAACGATCTTTTTTGTGTTGCAGAATAGAAACAACCCAGATTCACTTGTGCTGCTAATAGAGTCGTGCACTTAAATCAAACCGAGTGTGCATGAATGTAGCTTAGCTCAGTTATTAGAAAGGTGTTTCCAAGCGTCTGACTGCATGCAGGTTCATTAGCCAGAGTCCTTCATGCCCAGAAGCACCACTTTAGCCCTGATGAGCTCAGTGGGGTTATTACTGTACCTCACAGGCCTGTGACCCAGATCAAAGCAGCGCTGCCCGGCTCCGTCCTGCCTTTGTTCCCCGGATCCAGCACTAATGAGAAACTGTACCCTGCTGCACTCTCCTCCGTCTTTATTAGACCCCTTTCACTCTTACTCACTTCTATTATAGTTTGATCTCGCCGCCATACAATCAAGCACGAGCTGATTTTCTCTTTTGGTTCTGCATCAGATTCAGACTTTGAAAATAAAATTAATGTAGCATTAGAAAATAGTTATTTCTATTTGTTCTAATTGTTCTCATTTTAAAATATAAAATATTACATTCATTAATTAAACGCCCACCATTCATAATTTTGAGCTAAAATCATCTTGTGATTGGAGTTGAAGCCAGTTTGATCAGTCGTTGTAGATGATGTAACAAGTCGGTAGTGTAGGCAGGGCCCTTCAACTAAATCGCTCAGGGGGCCACAGTTACTGAAAGCCAGCTCAGGGCTTGAACATCCAGGAGTTATTGTTTGTTTTACGCTTTAACATTTAGTTTTATTTGAAAATGAACCCGTTGAGGGGCCGACCTGAGCTCACCTGTGGGCCTGATTTGGCCCCCGGGTCACCAGTTGAACAGCCCTGCTCTAGGGTGTGATCTATAAACACTTTAAGTATTTAAGAAGGACTCGGCTAATACCACACCAAATGTTCATTAGATATTTTGCTAACACGTCTGGTGAAATAAAGGGAGTGAAATGTGTTTGTAGGAGCGTAACGTTTTCTGTTTGCGTCTTCTGAAGCTCCACACATACCTGGTCCTCGAGCTGCTCGGTGGAGGGGAGTTGTTGGAAAGAATTCGCAGGAAGCAGCATTTCAGCGAGACGGAGGCCAGCCGCATCATGCGCAAGCTGGTGTCCGCCGTCAGCCACATGCACGATGTAGGAGTGGTGCACAGGGACCTAAAACCTGAGGTACCAGACACGAACGCACAGCGGTCAAACATCTGTTTGTGTTCTTGTGGTGAACACAAACGAACTAGATCAGAAGCTTTGAAGAGTGAATCAGTCTTTTTACTTTCTCGTACTGTGTCGTGTTGTTCCTCCACAATCTTCTTCAGAACCAGAGTAAACTGTTTGACCCAGCAGGGTCAGTCTGATGCACAGTGTAGTCGGCTCTGAAGCAGCCTGAGCAAAGGAAAGACCAGAAAGAAAGATGGCTGTCTGTGTCTCAAATTGCTTCGTAGAATCTGCTCTTCACAGGCGAGAGTGAGACCTCGGAGATAAAAATCATAGACTTTGGCTTTGCTCGTCTAAAACCGCCAGACAATCAGCTGCTGAAGACGCCCTGCTTCACCCTGCAGTACGCCGCCCCCGAGATCCTCAAATATGATGGCTATGATGAGTCTTGTGACCTGTGGAGTCTGGGGGTCATTTTGGTAAGTTCATCTTGCAGCATACTGGTAATATGAGACGTACTGGGTAATAATACTGAGTAAAAGGCATCAGCAGGCTGTTATCTGAGTTATTTACTACTTGTAAAAATCATGTTTTACTGCAGTTGAACGAAGCTGCAGCCTGATGACAGTTCCTGTCTGTTAGGATTCTGTCGGTGTGTGTGAACCCAGTGGTGCAGGCAGGCACAGGGAACTCACAGGGTAAAATAAGAATAATATTTATTAACACAAGAACAGGCTGACGATGGAGCATCACTCACAGAGGGAGACAGAACAAAGGACAATGTGCGGACACGGGGAACACAGAGACGCAGACTTAAATACCGTATTTTACACCGTACATGTCGCATCCGTCCAAATATGTGTAATAAAGTGGAACAATCCATAAATATGTGCATTATAAGTATAAGTCGCATCTATTATGTGTCACCGCTGACCACCTGGAAATGTGGGCCGGTGTTGTGCCAAAAATCGATTGGCTGCCAAATGGCGGCTGCGGGAGCGTGCACGGGAGGATTTTAACAAGGATGTAACAAGATTAACACTTAAAAACAATTATTTGTTTGCTTGAAATTATAGCAAAGGTGTGTCTCGGTCTAACTTTTCCTTAACAAATGCACGTTGACGGTCGAATCAGCTGCGTTTTCAAAAGTCGACTGGCGGGATCGCACTGAGGGAGGACTCGCTGTACATTTCTTCAAAATGTAACAAGATAAACACCTAAAAACAATTATTTGTTTGCTTGAAATTATAGCAAAGGTGTGTCTCAGTTGAACTTTTCCTTAATAAATGCACTTTAATGGTCAAATCAGCTGCATTTCTCCTGGGCAGTGAAATGCAGCTGATTTGACGTTTGCTCCAGGAGTTCTGGCGCGAGTCAAAGGTGGCTTGGTATGGCAAGCCAAGTGTCTCATTAATAGCCACTTTTGCCTTTTAATGAGACACTTGGTTTGCCATATTAGTCGAGGGCCCTCTAGTGGCTGAACATGGTAGTGTTCAATATTTTCCATGTCAGATTGAATGAAATCATCAGATCTCAGCCAAAACTTGGTTTATAAATATGGAAATAAAACATGAATAAATCGCTTCGCTGTGTAAGTTGCAGGCACGCTAATTTATGCAAAAAACTGTGACTTATATGCTGGAAACTACAGTACAAACACTAACGAACAGACAGTGACAAACACCTGGGGAAGGACAACAGGTGGGAGCGGCAGGAGCTGGGACAGACCACAAGGGGGAGACACGCACAAATCCTCGCACGGTCCAATAATCCAACTACAAGGCACCTCTACAAACTTCTAAAGATTTATTCTTTTTACAGCACCTCTTTACTTCATCATATACTCATGCTGACAAATGCAGAGACCGTTTAAAAGCAGAGAACTGGTCTTAAAGAGCGCTCAGCTAGCATTGATGATTTTGAACCATTGTGTCATGTGTCCACACAGTTGTCATAAAGAACTGAAGAAATAAAGTTTACTCCCAAGTCGTGCAGCTGACAAACCTGCCGCTGAATCAGGGACGTGTCTAAAGGATCTGGATTGTCTTTCGTTTTCACCGGGCTGATGGATCAACAGAGATGCACGTATTCTGTCAGTAAAGCTCACATTCCCTTTAAAAGCACTTTCAAAATAAACTACGATGGCAGAAAGGACTCTTTGAGTTGTCTCTTCACAACTTTATCGTCTGTAACAGCTCATGAAATATTGAGCATGCATCAGGAGATCTCATGAAATAGATGCTTGTCTTTGACATCGGGATCATAACTGCAACACAAAACGAGTCAATAATTCAGTTTTAAATCGGCATTTGTAAAAGAATAAGTAAATCAATAAAAACACTATAACATGCACGATACGTTAAAACAGAAGACCCTCTAAGCAGACAATGGTTTGTTGTGTGAGGCTGTTTAAAGAGGATCCTTTTAAGGGGAGCAGAGGGAACAAATGGCAGGTTTTGGAGATAGGTGTGTTGGGAAAAACACTGGAAACAATTTGGCAGGTCACTGCCAGGTGGAATTATTTTACATTAATTCTTTTAATTTGCTCATGTCAATTAGAATTAAAATATTTGAAAATCTCAATTCTGATGGTTCTTTCTTCTACAGCTGCTCCATCACGTGCAGGATATTAATAGTAGTAACTCTTCAGTGCCTGCACGTGACCACAATGAATGATTTGTGATAAACCGATCATCAATACTCTGAATAATGGCAGCCTTAGCTAAAGACTGTGAAACACTTGCAGCCCTCTGGGTTTTTAACACATTGGTAGAGTCACAGTTTTGAGCTCCACTTTGAAGCCCCTCCATGACTATTTTATTTTTAATTGGGTTTGTAGATTAATGGTTTTCTGCAGGACCGTGTGAGCATCTGGTCTTGAGCTTGATGCTCCTCTTGTCTTCTCCCTGGGTCTTCAGCATCCTGTGGTGAGCTGTATCAAAGCATAAGAAGAACAAGCGCAGCAGCTGATGCCAGATGTTGCTTTCTGGTTGCACACATGTCGTCTCTGTTTGCAGACGTTTTCTGCATGAAGAAGGAGAATTAAAAAAAGAGAAGAGGTAGCATGAATAGTAAGAGTGCACAAACGGTTCGATGGCTGAGAGAGAGATGTCTGTCCATCCAGAGCTCCTGTTCTGTCACCCCCTGGATTGTTTTTCATGCATTCCTGATCAAATGGCCTCTGACGTGCTTTGTGCACGTTGTCCTGCAAGCCAAGTTAGCTGCAGTTGTCAAAAGGGTCGTTCGTTACCCACCGTGGTCGTTTTAATGATGTCTGAGGGCAGGTGAGGTGAGCACAGGTGTACTCAGTGCTGGTGTGACCAGGGTCATACTGGTAATTAAAACAAGCATTTAACAGCTGATGTGCCTCACTCGTATTAATTATTAGTATTATATTGACCGTATGGCATTAGAGCTCTAACAACCGAAAACCTTATTGCGCACCTCTTTTATTTATTTGATGTTTTTTGCAGCAGGTGATGAGTATTGAGCCACAGACATTTGGTTGGATGCTGGTTTTTCTCTGTTTCAGTACACCATGCTGTCCGGACAGGTGCCTTTCCAGTGTCAGGAGAAGAAGCTGGCGCACACCAGCGCAGAGGAGATCATGAAAAAGATCAAACAGGGAGATTTCTCTTTCGAAGGAGAAGCCTGGAGAAACGTATCCCAGCAGGCCAAAGAGCTGATACAGGGTGAGAGCATGAGCCGGTTCACCGTTGTCAAATGTTTCTTTTAATGTTGAAAAAACGATGCTGTTGCATTTAAAACTGGTGTGTGGTCACATCTGTAGTTTTATTAAGTTAGATACACTTAAATAAGAGGAAACTGGACAATAGTTTTCTGTTAGTCAGTGAATGCTGAGTGGCTGCTGAAGAAGCTGAAACTGAGTTCCTAAAACAAGCAGAACACTAGCCAGAAGCTAAAAGTAGCTAAACGCTCACGACAGTATCCAAGAGGGGCGCGTGGTCCCCCCAAGGCACTGCCCGCCCCACTTTGTTAGTTATTTCAGGGTTTTATATTTTTCACAGCCGTTTCTTACATAATTAGTTTCCCTAAAATGTTTTTTTATAAAGCCGTTGAACTTTAGACGGTCTTTACGTCTTTAGTTGAGTTTGAGCAGCGTAGACCAACTGTTTGTGACCTCATGCTGTCAGAGCTGCTGCGATGATGCAAGCCACAGCGTGATGTCTGTTCATTTAATATTTAGAGTTCAGTTTCTTATTGTCCGCCTCTGAAACTGCAGCAATAATAAAATACATCCATCTGACTTGGTTTAGGTGTTCCATACATAAATATCTCATGAACCACCGTTTTATTAAACATTTAGGAAGAAGAAGTTTCTAATGTTAGTGATTTTTCACAGGTGGAAGTTAGTAACATTTTAAATTGGAGGTGTCTCACAGTTTGACATGACAACTCACAAAAAATGGAAAGGTTTAACAAAAATGGGGAAAAGTCCAGTTTGCAAGTAAAATTATAAATTTAAAGAGAAAATCAGATGCAAATTAAATAAGAACTGAGTCATTTTCTAATAGAACCATGTGCTGCTCACCAGAACAGATGTTGAACAGATGTTGAACAGATGTTGAACAAACAGATGACGTCCTTCTGTGACTCACCTTTACTCTCCCTCGTAACAAGAGTGTGAAAAGTGAAACAGGAGTGTGTTTTTCCTGCAGAGCTTCTCACAGTGGATCCAAACAAGCGGATCAAAATGTGTGGTCTTCGTTATAACGCCTGGCTACAGGACGACAGCCAGCTGTCCTCCAACCCGCTCATGACCCCGGACATCCTCGGCTCCTCCACGGCCTCCGTCCACACGTGTGTCAAAGCAACTTTTAATGTAAGAAACAAGAAGAGGAATCGTGTAACGTTGGTCAGATACGTGTCTGGCATTAAAGAACGCTGTACACCCGCTGCTGAATCTCATGCAGCGTTAGTATTCAGTGCTTGTTCATCCACAACTAATGCACGTTTGGAGTCAGTTCAGTGCAAGATGGTCGCCACGCCTAAGTGACATTAGCTAGAAGAAAACGTGCCGCGACACAGTTTTACTGATAAAGAGCTAAAGTCTTTTGTTGTAGTGCAGGGCTGTTCAACTGGTGGCCCGGGGCCAAATCAGGCCCTCAGGTGAGCTCAGTTCGGCCCACCAACGGGTTCATTTTAAAATAAAACTAGATTTTAGACCGTAAAACAAACAACTGCTGGATGTCCGGCCCCTGAGCTGTGGCCCCTGAGCTGTGGCCCCTGAGCTGTGGTCCCTGAGCAGTTTGCTTGGACAGCCCTGGTGGTAGTGCCTGAGAGTCATTCACAGCAGCACTGCATGAGAGAGCTTCATTTTGAAGGTTTGACCCAGTGGCTACAGCTCGGCCACTTCTCAACAAAAGATGATCTCAGTTTGTAACTCTGGCACGGTGCAGCAGCGGCTACTGAGCATAATTCTTATGGAGGCACACGTTCATTTCCTGAATCAACAACCACATAAATGTTACAGTTTGTGGTACATTTTCTGTGAAAACTGATACACTCCTTAATATTTATCTTAATGTGGCTGCTTGTCTCCGTCCTGCGAGTCGAGGTCGTGTCTCTGGAAAACGGTCCGAGTTCATTCAGAGAAACGAACCTCCCACCTGAAACAATATTTTATTTTTATTTTAACTGAGTGAAATTGAACGGACACAGATTTCTGGATTGGATTTCTAATTTGATTTTAAATAATAATTCTTCAATATTACTCCAGATTAACAAAGTTAAAGAAGGAAGTTCTGCAAAGTCGTTTAAAAAAGTGTAAAAGTTAAACAGTGATTTTAAAGCTCCGAGCAGAGTTCGGACCCACAGCCACACTACTTGAAGCCACTGAACTGGTTAAATGAGATATTACTGGTGAAGATGTCCTGGTTTTTATTCTCCTGTGTCCCCCTCAGGTTTCTGGTCTGTTTGTGTCCCCTCTGCTGGACACGGCAGGTTCTTCTGTTTGATAAGCTCCTGTCAGGTCTAGTGTTCGCAGAGGTCGTATCAATGATCTAAAACCAGCAGAACGTCTCCACGGGCCCCAATATTTTACTGCCCGATGAGACTCTGTTCAGCTGCCGTCAGGTGGAAATGTTCAATTAAATTATAATTCATTTTATTTCTATAGCGCCAAGTCACAACAGCTGTCTCAGGACACTGAACAGAAACATCCACACACAAAAAACAATTAGTAAAGTTCTGTATCTGAGGAAGCAGCACATTGTGTTCAGTCTTCACTTCGTCACAGTCTCCCATCCTGAGCGAGCACAAAGGAGACAGTGGAAAGAAAAACTCCCTTTAACAGGAAGAAACCTCCAGCAGAACCAGGCTCAGGACGAGCGGACATCTGCTTTGACCGACTGGGTCTGAGAGGACAGGAAGTAGAACCAGACACAGAATGACAGGTCCAGGTGTACCTGAAAGACAAAAACACATCAAGGATAGAAAAATAATTACAAATACAAACCAGGACGAGTGGAGCAAGTGAAGACAGCAGCAGAGAGAGGTCATGTAGTGGAGCTCTGCCCCACCTGCTCGTATGGACCGACACACCTGCTTGAATATTTAAAATGCATTATGAAGATATTTTACCAAAACACGGCCGGAGTTCTTATTAATTAACGTTAATAAAAAAAACTCAACGGTTATTGTTCTTAATAGCAAAATTTAAAACTTTTTTCTCCATAAAAAAACTATTTTTTAATTTAGCATCACACTTGAGAGCACAGGTGACAGGTGGTGACATGTGGTGACAGGTGGAGACATGTCGTGACATGTGGTGACATGTGGTGACAGGTGGTGACAGGTGGTGACAGGTGGTGACATGTGGTGACATGTGTTGACATGTGTTGACATGTGGTGACAGGTGGTGACATGTGGTGACATATGTTGACAGGTGGTGACAGGTGGTGACATGTGGTGACATATGTTGACAGGTGGTGACGGGTGGTGACAGGTGGTGACATGTGGTGACATATGGTGACAGGTGGTGAC